CTGTCCTTCAGTTTTCTTTCCCCCCACAGTTTTATTGAGACACAATTGACATGCAGCACTGTATGAGTTTAGTGTGTACAACATAATGGTTTGACTCACATATATTGTGAAATAATTACCACAGTAAGTTTAGTTAGTAGTCATCACCTCATATAGATATAAGGAAAAGTAAAAAAAGAAAAAAAAATTCCTTCTGGTGAGAACTCTTGGGATCCACTCTCTTAATAACTTTCCTGTATATCACACAGCAGTGCTGAATGTCCTGTTGTACCTGACGACCCCTGGGCTTATTTATCTTACACTTGGAAGTTTGTCCCTTTCTACCACTTTTCCAATTTCCTCTCCCCTGACCCTCTGTCTCTGGTGACCTGATCTCTTTTTCTGATCTCTTTTTCTATGAACGTTTTGATTTAGTTTTTAAGATTCCACACGGAAAAGAAGTCACACAGTATTTATCACTCTCTGCTCTTCAGTTTCTGACCACCTATGTGCCCAAGCTGCTAGGACGCATTTCATCTTCAACGCCAGTGTCCTCCAAACCTGCCCGCCAAGCTGCGGTTTGGCTCCCGGTGGCAGCAGGCGCTGCATCCCTAGCCCTGACTGGGTGCACAGGGAGGACCACATGATCCAGGGGCGAGCCCTGGCATGGACAAAGGAGCCCAGACCCACGGCATTCCAGAGAGCCCAGACAGCTCCTGGCCAGGCGTTCCTGCTCTGGCAGTGTACTGGGAGAGGAGCAGAGAAAATGCTCTCCACCTCCCAGACCAGGAAGGGAAAGGATGTTAACTCCTTAGAAGGACCTCTGCCCACGTGTCCCTGGGTTGCCTGGAAGATGCCCGCCCTGGAGCAGACAGACAGGCTCTGCCTCACCTCCCCGCTTCCTTACCCGCTGAGTGACCAGGGGAGGACCGCGGCCCCCCAGAGTCCGTTTCTTCATCTGTAAATGCTTGGCTGAGGATCCCACAGGAGTGTGGGGGAAAGGGCGTCGTAGCAGGGTCTGTGGCACCCTCGGCTCACTCATACTTCTTGGGCAAGTCACTCTGAGCCTCCCTCTTCCCACCTCTGAGTGGAATGCCAACGCGTCCCGGGACTGCTGCGGACTACAGCAGCCTGGGCACGGCCTTTGTAGCCTGTGGAGCACTGCTCTGTCTTCAGGAGGGTGGCCCAGACACGTGGTGTCAGTGATCTGAAGCAGGGGTCAAACGCCCTCAGCCCTTCTGGGAGGCCGGGGAGGCAGCGCCGAGAGCGCGCACTTTCCCCGGGGGGTCACCGTGATTGCTCAGCAGAAAGACCATACCGTATTTCTCCAACAATACGTTCCCTAAGGCAAGTCCCCGACTTTCTCCGGCTCTCAGTGGGATACACAGCGGCCGGTACCGGGCTCGAGGTGGAAGTGGGGGTGGAGGGCAGACCTGGCCCGGGCGGCCCCAGGGCCCCCGCCTGGGCCCCGACTGCGGGACAATCTCAGGCCTTGGGGCAGGGCCCGAGGCCCGTCTCACGTTCTCACCTGGGGACCGCGCTTCAGAAGCGTCTCCCGCGGACGCCGCAAACCCACGGCCGTGCTGGGGGGAGGGGAAGTGGCTGGGGACCGCGGGCCGCGCGGGGCTGGTGGCTCCCGGACCGGGAGCG